GCATATATTTGTGTGTGTGTGTGTATGTGTATATGTATATGTATATGTATATAGTTGCATGTATGTGCAACCGCATTTAAGTTGCAGCCCTCAGCATGTGCTGTGAGTATCATTGTGGCCTTTGGGCTTCCAAAGTTGAGTAGCTCTGGTTTAAAGGATGCCTCTAACCACTTTGCTTTTTAGACATGGTGACTTTTTTTGGTTGTCTTTCCTGTTTTTTTATTATTTGTTTTTTTATTTAGTTTGAGTCTGTTCCAGTGTTTTTCAATGGTTTCCATGCTGTCTGCAGGCATTTTACTCTTATGACTGTTCCTTTTAATTTTTGTTTATTTAGCTTACTCATTTTTGTGTCGTTCCCCTTTTTGAAGTTAAAAGCTACCGTGATGAGTTTCTTGATTTTTGTTTTTTGTTTTTTTGGTTTTTGTATCATTTCCCCTTCTCCCCCAGTGATGTTGTTAACTTCAGTTACATTATGATGGCAGTTAATGAGGAGTTCTGCTGTATTCCCCTCTTAGGTCAGATCCTGTGTTCTACTTAAGACTAAATCAAGAATTATGTCTTCCCTTGAGGGTTTTAGGACTAGCTGCTCGAAAAAGCAGTTATTAATGGTGTCCACAGATTTTATATCTGCATCCCGTCCTGTCCTGAGGTGACATGTTCCCAGTCAGTACGGGAACAGTTGAAATCCCTCTATTATTATTATTATTATTTATTATTGGGTTTTCTTGTTTATGTAACCTCTCTAATCTCCCTGAGCATTTACAGTGCCCATCATCCTGATATTCCCATTTCTATATTATGACCCTTTTTATTGGTAATTATGTATGGTTAAATGAGTACTTTTGATTTTATATTTATTTTTACTTTTCATTCATTGTTCAAAGTACAAGAACCAGAGGACTTGATTAAAAAAAAGGAGGTTGCTTATATTTCATTATGCTGCTCGTCATTTTGAGTACCTCATTCAAATCCTTGCTAACACTCCGTTTTCAAGTTAAACAACCCTGAGATTATTAGGTTTTTTTTCAATCTCTTCCTATATAAATATTCATGGTTTCTCTTGTTCAGGTGGGAACAGGCAGATTGACAGCCTGTGTGAGACTAGCACATTCTATAAAATATCCTGTAAGCTACATTTATCTATTCTCTTAAGTTGAACTGTTATCTTAGAGAACCAAAATGACCTTATAAAATGTGCTTGCACAAAGCTTTTGTTGATTTTTCATATCTAATGATTATGTTGATTTTGCATTGCCTCATAGACCTCTCTTTATTTAGGGTTAGACTTCTGTAAAGAAAAGCTACTGGTAATATACTCTTGAATTTTAAGGCGCTGAATCTCGCAGTTGCATAGCTTTGTATTTGAGAATAATTTTATATTTTTGACTTACGGGTCTTATTTAGCAACAATATTTTTACACTAGCTTGTCTCTTAACAGCTAATTAGTACATGGAACTAGATTGTTTAATGCTATAGAACAACAGTGGCAGTTTGAGCTTTTGTTATAGACCGGTCTCCATATATACTGCAATTATACAGCTGCATTGTAATTATGACCATCTGGGGTTTCAAAGAGAGTCTTCTAAATATGAACCAAACATGACCCAGGCAGACTTTTACTTACTTTTGTAAATAGCCAAGAGTAGTTGTATAGAGAACTGTAATTTTTAAAAATAGTAAGTGCATCTTCCCTACCCTAAAGAACTTGTAACTGTAGATATGGCAAGTTATGGGTAACAAACAGTAAGGAATATGGAACAAGAAGACAAATTACAAATGGATACTTGGTTTATGTGCACTTTTTTGAGTTCTGGTTCAGATGGGTATTCACCATGGGTCCACGTGCTCCATGAACCCATGAATAGAAACTTGTGAATAGGAGTGTCCATTAGTCTGTGCCAGCACATTGTTTTCTTGTGCTTCAAAATGAGGGCACAAGGGGCAGAGCAGACTGACAGTCTCGCCAGTTCCTTTGTGCCACCTGTAGTTTAGGACAGAAACTTTTGTGCCATTAGCCATCTGGCTTCTGCTCTAGCGTTGATAATAGTTCTAGTTATTTTACTAATTAGTGCTTTTTAGATTGTATTTTGGTGGGAACTGGAAGAGTTTCCTCACTTTTATTCCCTGCTTCCCATCCAAGGTGCTTATGCCCAACGTCCTAGGCTTCAAGCCTTACCTTGCCCACCATTGAGTGTTCCTGATAAGCAATCAGCTGCCTCAAGAAATCTCACATCCTACTGAAGTGTGAGATCTGCCATACACTCTTACTTTCTACTATTTGTACTAGGCAGTCCTGGGAGTTCAGATTCCACAAGCACGTGATGGAGTTCTCCATGAGTCCTTTATCAGACCCATGCCCTTCCCACTTGCCACAGCATTGACCAGCATCTCCAATCAGTGCCTCTCCAGCACTGATGGGTCCCTCCAGCAGGTCTGAGATGTCAAAAGGAAGCATGAACATGATAGAGAAAGGTTATGTGAAGATGGACAAGTAGTCTCATAAGCCCTTGAAGTTGACATCAAGCCTTCCCCCCTCCCTTTTCACCCTTTTGGGACTGAATGAAACTCCATTCTCTGGGATAGATGGACCTGGAGCTCACACGGAGCAAGGGCTTGTGCTAATGAACCAGGAGCTTCCACAGTTCTGAAACAGAACTCAAAAGTATGTAAGGCCAGTAAAGAGTACTCAGCTTTGCACCAGTGGAATCACACCAACAACTGTGCCCAAGCCTTCCATGTCTTCAGATCAGGATTCCAAGAAGCTGCATCTATTTGACAAAAAATGCTTTTCCTTTGCTATCCTACTCTTCCATACTGCAATCTGCTTGGCGTCTGTATTGGAATACAACTTTCTCATGCCACTACAAAAAATCCCCCCTTCAAGGGTAACAGCTTATTCAGTAAAGGAACTATGACAAATCACTCCACTCACTGTCCCTTGGAAAAGTACATCCCAGCCCCTCTCAGAAAATATTCTGAACTTCCATACACAGACAGCAGCCAGTGCCATACCACTCTGCCACCAAAAGGCCTGTGAGCCACCGAGAGAGCACCAAAAGGTGTACAATGAAGCAGATCCTGCTCCACCACCACAGTTCCCTCTCCAGACTCAACCCTTCTGACAGGGACAATCAGGATCAATCAACCAGTCCTCCCCCAACCCTTTTGGAGGCGATCTAGCCTATTTTCTTCCAATGTGGCACTGTTTAACTTTGGACGCATTGTCTTAGACAACATCTGCATGGGATACACCAGCGGATCTCAAACTTTTTGGGCTCTGGAGCCCTTTACATGTGTACAAATTTATGAGGCCCCCCCAGCATAATTGTATGTGTTGTACCTATCGATATTTACAGTTTGTCAACCTCGTGGAGCCCCTGGAGATGTCTCATGGAACCCTGAGGCTCTGCGGAGCACAGTTTGAGAAACACTGGGATATACCATTGAATTATTGTCTACCCCTTCTTCAACGTGTGCATTCTCCAGCCTTCTTCAGGGATTCCTCTTGTAAGGCATTCCCCAAACCGGTATTGGACTCTCTAATCCAACTAGAAACAATAGAATCGGTACCACCTCAACACAAAGGGAAAGGCTTTTACTTCAAATACGTCTTCATCCCCAAGAAGTGGGACTGGAGACCTATCCTGGACCTCAGACAGTTTTTTATATATGTTCATCACTCAGAGTTCAGGTCGATTACCCTGGTTGCTGTAATCTCCTCTTTGAACTAGAGCAACTGGTTTTAAGGACACTTGTTTTCACACAGAAATCTGCCAAGTACTCAAGAAATACCTGCATTTCATGGTGGACTCAAAGCATCTCTAGTACAAAGCAGTTTTGGGCTTTCATCAGCTCCAAGAGTTTTTACAAAGGTCATGACAGTAGTGTCACTATATATATGCAACCAGCTGCAGCATATGTTTCCCTGTCAAGATGAATGACTGTAACAAAGTGGTAACATTTTGTAATATTGTGAAGCTTATTTATGCCTCAGTTTCCTCTGTGGCATTGATATCCAATGATCTCCAGCTACATGTTAATTAGTGTATTGACATTCTTTCTTAACTTATTGAAATTTCTAGAATTTGAATTTATCGGAATTTGCAACAATTTCCAGTTTCTTGGAGAAACCATGGAGTCTTGCCGTACAGTTTGTTTAGCTTGCCACAGAATACAAGCATCCTTACTCCTAAAATCCTTTAGTGTGAGTAGAGCTCTTTTCCCTGTGGACCTCAGAGGTGTGTCCCGATGACTGGAGCCAGCAGAGATGGCCAGTGGTTATGGCACTGTTCTGGTACTAAATGTTCCATTCCCTGCTCAGCCACAGAGTTTCTGGATGAGCATGTGCATGTCACTCACCATCTGTATGCCTAAGTTCTCAGTCTTTGAAACAGGGATAGTAGCATTGCCCTGCTTCGTAGACATGTTGTGGGGAAAACCACATTAAACAAGCATTTATTCACTTCTGTGGTGAGCTTAGGTAAGTACCTAAAATGAATAGAGAGCAACAGACTCCTGGAAACATGCAAAGACCAAGGAGAACCAGGCTTTTACACACCTGTTAAATATGGAAAACTTATGTGATATGCCAAAGTCCCATATTTCTGACCAGTCAGTTTCTCACCACCTACAGTGGGGCATGCACTGGCATCTCTGTATACCTGATCTTCAGGCTGTAAATGTGGCAGTAGACTTGAGGAATGTAGGGAGTGGGGAAGAGGGATTGAAGAGCAGTGGCTCCCTGCCACATAATTTAGATATAATAAATTATCAACTATATTTACATCAGATAATCTATATCCACAGAACTTGTATCTTAACATTGACAACTGGACTGGTGCAAACTCACTAACCAAGTTTAGATTCCAGGTAGTATCCTGGAGGGTAGCCTATTACCAAATTCTGCAGCCACTCTCTCACAATTTTTTTTTTTTTTTAAAGAAGTCAAGCCCTTATAATACTGCTGTTCAGGATCTTTTCTATGTGCTTTCTCTTGCAGATCTAGTTGCTGTCCTATGTCCTAAAGGCCCTCTTCGTATGTTGGTTGAAACAGCTCAAGAGAGAAATGAAACACTCTTCCCAGCGCTTGTTTACTCCTGTAAGTATCTTTTATTAAGGTTTTTAGATTTCTAATCTCCTGCCTGACCTTGAATAAAAGAGATGTAATCATACCCTTGACTTCCTTTCCTTTAATATGCTCTGTTGCATGTGCAGCTGGAGATCACAGTTCATTTCCTTAGGTCTTAATTCTTGGTTTGCTGTTGGCTCAGAACCCTGGAACCTGTTTCTTATCAGATATCCCAAGATAAAAACAGCACATGTTTTATTTTTAAATGAAAATGGAAAAAATAGTAAAGGATCCTGGTGTGGCCAAAACAGTGTCAGTAGAATGTAAATCAACCATGCTTAGGATAGGTTTTGATTCTATTTAGAAATATTTGTCCATTTGCAGGACTTGAACAGTCCCCTCGCCACAGGGAATGTAGATGCTTGTGTGGAGACTCTATATACAATGAATTCCTGCAAGCAGTAGATTTTCTTCAGACTTTTTAAAAGTATATTTCTAGCTTATAGTTGAGAGGAATAACCTGCTAAGAATGGTCTTGCTATTTTGTTTTGTGTGTGTGTGTCTGCCTCTGGTGTTGCTCAGTTTCAGCTGAAATTATTTGTGATTTTTGACACATTTGCAGACTAATTTTAACAAAAAAAACTTCTTTAAGGTAGATTCACAAAGTCTCTGGGGGACGGAGGGGTGCCCATTTTGTAACTTTTAGATCAAAGTTTAAAGCGCTCACCTAATACACGAGACTCCTGTGTTCAGTCTAGGGATGTGAAAGACTAGTCGACTGTCTGATAAGTAAAAGCCAATTGGCCGTTTCCTCCCCTCCCCTCCTTCTCCTTGCTGCATCTATCAGAAAGAAGCAGCAGGTGGAGGTGGGAGGCGAGGAGGAGTGGCTTCAGAGCAGCAGCTCTGTGTGGAGCCAGGGACTCCCCGCTGACCCCGGGTTCTGCATGGCGCTGCCGCTTTGAAACACCACGTGGAGCTGGCGCCAGCTGGGGACGCCAGCTGGGGACTCCAGCTGACCTCAGCTCCACATGGTGGCGCCGCTTTGAAATGCCGTGAGGAACCCCATGCAGCATTTCAAAGCAGCTACTCTGCATGGAGCCCAGGGTCAGCTGGGGACTCCCCCGCTGACCCCTGGCTCCACGCGGTGCTGCTGCTTTAAAACACTGCAGGGATCAAGGGGCTAGTGGAGGACTCAATCATTCCCGCACTGGCCCAGTGCTCCCTGCATCACTTTCACCTTAGTGTAGCAACAACTGTAGGGTACTTCAAAGGAAAGTCGATGAAAATTGCATTGATTATTCAATTAGTCCGTTGTTCTAAATTTAACATCCCTAGTTCAGTCCCTCCCCCAGCCTGGGAACAGGAATTGGGATTTGAACATGGGTCTTTTCTTCTCTCCTATCTAACTACCATAGGTTGTTACATTCTGGGATATTTTGGTGTGGTCTTTCTCAGTCTCCTGTTAAAACAGTTCCACCTTTTATAAATAATTATGCCTTTGAGCAATCATTTGAACTTGGATTTCCCATGTCCCAGGTGAGTCCCCAAACCACTGACACATAGAGTGATTCATTGTTTCTCTGTATGTTGCAATAACTACAGGCAGTCCCCGCGTTACGTACAAGATAGGGACTGTAGGTTTGTTCTTAAGTTGAATCTGTATGTAAGTCGGAACTGGCGTCCAGATTCAGCCGCTGCTGAAACTGATCAGTTTCAACAGCGGCT